CCCCAAAACCCCAAAACCCCAAAACCCCTCCTCTTTCTGGCATTATTGAATTTCTAAAATTCAAACTTCATAACCTCGGTATACTCTGCTGGCTCCTCTTGTTCCTTCTCTTCCTCTTCATCAGATACATAAGTAGGGATTTCTGCTTCACGGATCTTTACAGCTACAATATCCTGGAAGTTGTTGTTCAACTCTGTGTTTACCTTGAAGGTATTCTCTTCCTTTGACTCTTCGTCCTGCTTCGGGTGACTAAAAGGTTTAAAATAGCCCATCAATAGTACATTACCTTTTTAAGCTTTGGATCTCTTTCATCAGGTCAAATTTAGATTCAGGCTTCTTGTCAGAAACAAGTTCATCCTTCGGGCTTGATGAAAGAGCCAAACTTGTCTCTAAGTTCAGGTTTGGTAAGAGGACAGATTCTATCTCATGACGAAATTCTTCCTCATTCATGTTATCTAACGTCTTCAGTTCGGTGTCTGCTGCTGTTTGGGTCTCGTCATCTTTTGCATCCAGAGCTTCAAGAACATCATCACTGTTGAAACTGTCATCGAGAGAGTGGGCTTCATTCGGAGAAATATTTTCTTGAGCTTTATTTTCCTCTTCTAAGTTTCGTAGGAGATCAAACATAGAAGGAGGCTCAACCTGTTCAGGCTTATTGTCATTATTTCCTGATGTCTCTTTATGCTCTTCAACAAGTGACTTAGTTATCTCTAAGACCTCTGAGGAGCTTTCACTAAAGAACCCATTGGTTGATTTAATTTCTATAGTTTAGACTGCGAAGCTCACTCTGTCTTCGAGGAGATGGAGGCTCTTCCAGAAGGACTTCTTCAAGCTCATCTTCTCCAGCATCATCTCCAAAATTTGTATATTTAATAGGTTTTATTTCTTTCGCTTTCCCAATAGACTGATACTCCTCAGATTTTGCAACTTCATCAGGAATTTCTGGTAAAGTTTTCATTAATTTCTTGAAATCTTCTACTGCTTGTTCCTTAATTTTCTGAGTCTATTCAAGATTAAAGGCAAGCTTACATCAAAGTAGTCACAAGGCATGACCAGTTTTGGGCCTTTTCCTCCGAGATATTTCCTTGGATCAATTCCTAAATCCCTCAAAATCTCAACTCAAGGGAGCTTGTTAGGATCATATGAGTCAAATTGAGGGTATTTTTCTATTCTTTAGCGGGAAATTTACCTTCAAATGCAAAATCTTCCATTTTCAATATTAATTTCATAAAAAGGGGTTTTGGGGTTTTGGGGTTTTGGGGTTTTGGGG